ATATAAATTAAAAGAAAGTAAACCCTTGCCCTCCAGAGGATTCCCCCCCCCTTCCTGACCAGGCCATTTTTTGCAATGCGGCGCTGCGTTACTTGAACCACTTCCCGGTCCGGCCACTTCCCGGTCCGGCAAGACGGTGGCAGTGCAGGGGCGGGTTGCTGTTCATAAACAGCGCCTGCCATTTTGGATTGTGCGCGCTCCCTGGGAGCACGCGGCACCGCAATCTGGTGCCCGCTGTGTTCTCTGGACACAGCGGAACACCGATCGCTGTACGGGACCTCTGTGTGAGGTCCTGATCATGTGATCACTGATTGGCCAATCAGTGATCACATGAATAGGTGTAAGCAAGATGTCACTAATGACATCATTGCTTACTACTTGTGAAATCTGTGAATGTTCACAGAGATCAAATGGTACAGGGCTGGACGGGAGCAGTGCCGAAGCTGATGGCTGTTTATAAATGGCCCCCGCATTCACTGCCTGTGCGCACTCCCTGGGAGTGCCTGGTACCGCGATCCGGTGCCCGCTATGTCCGGAGGTCACAGCGGAACACTGATCGCTGTACGGGACCTCTGTGTGAGGTCCCGATCATGTGATCACTGATTGGCCAATCAGTAATCACGTGAACAGTAGTAAACAAGATGTCACTTTTGACATCATTGCTTACTACGTGTGAAATCTGTGAATGATCACCTAGATTACATGGTACAGGGCTATTCACAACAGCATTGTACCATGTGACAAGCTGTGACCAATCACAGCTCACACAGTATTTCTCAATGGCTGCAAGAATGCAGCCAGAGAGAAGGAGAAATGATTGCTTTTACAGCCTCTAAGGCTGCCCTGCCAGGTGACCTTAATGACTCCCTCCACCAGACACCTTTCCCACCCTTGGAAACAAAAGAAATGTTAATGAGCAACTCACACCTAAGCTAATCTCAACACATACTGCTGTCTCTGCTTCTACTCTCTGTATTTCTCTGAAACAGTCTGAAATAGTTAATAATTTACCACTTTTCAGTGCATTCTGGGCATTTGGGAGGTTCTGCTGTGCTTATCTTTAAAAAATCACTTCTAAATGAACATAAACGCAAACAGACGTTTTTTTAACCTACGTTTTCCAGCAGTCAGTTTCCATTGTTCAGAAGTGTCCCGTGTACATGGGGCCTTAAAAAGAAAACGAATGCAGCCACCACATCGAACGATTGGTAAGCTTCAATATAAAATTTTTAGTTTTGGGTTGAATACCACTTTAACCTGTTCATGCAGCCGCACACAAATGTGTGCTGGGCTTAGATGCCGAGCGGCCGCACATTTGCGGTCAATTCTAAAAAAAAAGTGTGCTGAGAGCGCACTCCCAGCACACATGTCCGGTACCCACGGAAAGGTCCCGGTCTTCTCTTTCGATCGGGACCTTTCCCGATCATGTGACGGCGCGTCCCGGCGGTCACATGATCCCTAAAACCCCTCCCGGCTTCTGAAACTATTAAAGGGCCGGGAGGCGCCAGCGTGAAGGGTTTTAACCACTTGCCGTCGGCAGGGCGGTTGCACTCCAGGGGCGGGTTGCCGTTCATAAACGGCACCCGCTATTTCTAGTTGTGCGCGCTCCCTGGGAGCGCGCAGCACAGCGATCCGGTGCCCGCTGTGTCTTCCAGAAACAGTGAAACACCGATCGTCGGACGGGACCTCTGTTCGAGGTCCCGATCATGTGATCACTGATTGGCCAATCAGTGATCACATGCAAAGTAGTAAGCAAGATGTCACTTGTGACGACATTGCTTACTACATGTGAAATCTGTGAATGATCACCAAGGTCACATGGTACAAGGCTATTCACAACAGCCTTGTACCATGTGACAAGCTCTGACCAATCACAGCTCACACAGTATTTCTCAATGGCTGCAAGAATGCAGACAGAGAGAGAGAGAAATGATTGCTTTTACATCCTATATGGGTATAAAAGCAATCACTGTAAAAAAAAAAAAAAAAAAATCTTCCATGGTGACACTGTACTGCTAGGGTGACGGTATGTAAAAAAAAAACCCATAAATAATAAATATAAAAAAATAAACTAAAAATGTAAAAAAAAATGTTTAAAAATTATAATTTTTGGTTATAAACTAATTTGGCATACTTTTTTTTTTTTTACTAAAAAGATAACGGAATAAATTTTGGCCAAGATTTATGATGAAATATTATTTATTGCAAAATTGTATAAGAAAAAACACTTTTTTTTTCAAAATTTTTGGACGTTTTCATTTATATAGCAAAAAAAATAAAAATCCCAGTGGTGAATAAATACCACCAAAATAAAGCTTTATCTGTCTCAAAAAAATGGTAAAAGATTCATATGGGTACAGTGTTGCATGACGCGCGCAATTGTCATTCAAAGTGTGATAGCGCTGAAAGCTGAAAATTGCCCTGGACAGGAAGGGGAGGAAAGTGTCCGGATTGGAAGGGGGGAAAGTGTCCGGACTGGAAGTGGGGGAAAGTGTCCGGACTGGAAGGGGGTGAAAGTGTCCGGACTGGAAGGGGGGAAAGTGTGCGGACTGGAAGGGGGTGAACCGGACTGGAAGGGGGTGAAAGTGTCCGGACTGGAAGGTGGTGAAAGTGTCCGGACTGGAAGGGGGTGAAAGTGTCCGGACTGGAAGGGGGGAAAGTGTCCGGACTGGAAGGGGGTGAAAGTGTCCGGATTGGAAGGGGGGGAAAGTGTCCGGACTGGAAGGGGGTGAAAGTGTGCGGACTGGAAGGGGGTGAAAGTGTGCGGACTGGAAGGGGGTGAAAGTGTGCGGACTGGAAGGGGGTGAAAGTGTCCGGATTGGAAGGGGGGGGAAAGTGTGCGGACTGGAAGGGGGTGAAAGTGTGCGGACTGGAAGGGGGTGAAAGTGTGCGGACTGGAAGGGGGTGAAAGTGTGCGGACTGGAAGGGGGTGAAAGTGTTGTGCGGACTGGAAGGGGGGGAAAGTGTCCGGACTGGAAGGGGTGAAAGTGTCCGGACTGGAAGGGGGTAAAAGTGTCCGGACTGGAAGGGGGGGTGAAAGTGTCCGGACTGGAAGGGGGTGAAAGTGTCCGGACTGGAAGGGGGGGAAAGTGTCCGGACTGGAAGGGGGTGAAAGTGTCCGGACTGGAAGGGGGTGAAAGTGAAAGTGTCCGGACTGGAAGGGGGGTGAAAGTGTCCGGACTGGAAGGGGGGTGAAAGTGTCCGGACTGGAAGGGGGGGAAAGTGTCCGGACTGGAAGGGGGGGAAAGTGTCCGGACTGGAAGGGGGTGAAAGTGTCCGGACTGGAAGGGGGGTGAAAGTGTCCGACTGGAAGGGGGTGAAAGTGTCCGGACTGGAAGGGGGGAAAGTGTCCGGACTGGAAGGGGGTGAAAGTGTCCGGACTGGAAGGGGGTGAAAGTGTCCGGACTGGAAGGGGGTGAAAGTGTCCGGACTGGAAGGGGGGGGGGGGAAAGTGTCCGGACTGGAAGGGGGGGGAAAGTGTCCGGACTGGAGGGGGGGGAAAGTGTCCGACTGGAGGGGGGGGGGGAAAGTGTCCGGACTGGAAGGGGGGGAAAGTGTCCGGACTGGAAGGGGGTGAAAGTGTCCGGACTGGAAGGGGGTGAAAGTGTCCGGACTGGAAGGGGGTGAAAGTGTCCGGACTGGAAGGGGGGAAAGTGTCCGGACTGGAAGGGGGGAAAGTGTCCGGACTGGAAGTGGTTAAATAAACCAAAATAAGTGTCTGCTTGGATTAGTTCTTTCTTGGTCTTGATACTAAAATCACTTTTTACTTTTTAAATATGCCAAGACAGTCTCACTGCATACATGCCAATAGATACAGGAAGGCTTGAGCAGAGTAAACGGACAGATTTCTGTTGATTGTTTTGTGTTTCTTCCACTTACTGTATGATTGCATTGTCCAGCGATAACTGACACCTTACCTCACTGACAATAACATTCGTTTTGTTTTGTAAGATGATCTTCCCTTTCCATTGGCCTTGTCCGTATATCCCGCTTTGCCCCCTGGCCCTGGCGGACGTGCTGAGTGCCCCTTGTCCCTTCATTGTGGGAATTGATTCTCGCTACTTTGATTTGTATGAGCCCCCTCCGGATGTCAGCTGTGTTGACCTAGATACCAACACCATTTCTCAGTAAGTATTCCTCCGTGAGAAATGTATTTTGTGACAACAATGAGGGGATTGCACGGTTGTTTAAAATACATCAACTCTCTGCCTGGAAGGCAGTAAAGACTTAATTACCAGCACTGGGCAGCATCTATTTCCTATTACACTGGAAGGATGAGGCTGAATTTAGTGTTGCTGGTCTAGACCAGGGGTCTCCATACTTCGGAAACAAAGGGCCCGTTTACTGTCCTTCAGACTTTAGGAGGCCCAGACTGTGGGAGTAGAAGATGCCCCAGCATCAGTGGGGGTCCACAAGAGTCTCAGAGTTGATGGTCAGTGGGATTTAAAAAAATTAGACCGCGTATGTGGTCATTAGGAGGAGTAATAGTGCTCCATCGTTGGTATCAGTGGGAGGAAAAGTGCCCCATCATTGGTATCAGTGGGAGGAATAGTGCCCCATCATTGGTATCAGTGGAAGGAATAGTGCCCCATCATTGGTGTCAGTGGGAGGAATAGTGCCCATCATCAGTGGGAGGAGTGGTATCAGTCAGTGGGAGGAATAGTGCCCCATCATTGGTATCAGTGGGAGGAATAGTGCCCCATCATTGGTATCAGTGGGAGGAATAGCGCCCCATCATTGGTGTCAGTGGGAGGAATAGTGCCCCATCATTGGTATCAGTGGGAGGAATAGTGCCCCATCATTGGTATCAGTGGGAGGAATAGTGCCCCATCATTGGTATCGGTGGGAGGAATAGTGCCCCATCATTGGTATTAGTGGAAGGAATAGTGCCCCATCATTGGTGTCAGTGGGAGGAATAGTGCCCCATCATTGGTATCAGTGGGAGGAATAGTGCCCCATCATTGGTGTCAGTGGGAGGAATAGTGCCCCATCATTGGTAGTCAGTGGAAGGAATAGTGCCCCATCATTGGTGTCAGTGGGAAGGATTGTGCCCCATCATTGGTGTCAGTGGGAGGAATAGTGTCCTATCATTGGTGTCAGTAGGAAGGTATTAGTGAAGGAGTAGTGCCCCATCATTTGTGTCAGTGGGAAGGAATAGTGCCCCATCGTTGGTGTCAGTGGGAGGAATAGTGCCCCATCGTTGGTGTCAGTGGAAGGAATAGTGACCCATCGTTGGTGTCAGTGGGAGGAATAGTGCCCCATTATTGGTGTCAGTGGAAGGAATAGTGACCCATCATTGGTGTCAGTGGGAAGGAATGTGCCCCATCATTGGTGTCAGTGGAAGGAATAGTGTCCTATCATTGGTGTCAGTGGAAGGAATAGTGACCCATCATTTGTGTCAGTGGGAAGGATGGTGCCCCATCATTGTGTCAGTGGGAGGAATAGTGCCCCATCATTGGTATCAGTGGGAGGAATAGTGCCCCATCATTGGTATCAGTGGGAGGAAATAGTGCCCCATCATTGGTATCAGTGGGAGGAATCGTGCCCCATTCATTGGTATCAGTGGGAGGAATCGTGCCCCATCATTGGTATCAGTGGGAGGAATCGTGCCCCATCTTGGTATCGGTGGGAAGGAATAGTGCCCCATCATTGGTGTCAGTGGGAGGAATAGTGCCCCATCATTGGTATCAGTGGGAGGAATCGTGCCCCATCATTGGTATCAGTGGGAGGAATCGTGCCCCATTCTTGGTATCGGTGGGAGGAATCGTGCCCCATCATTGGTGTCAGTGGGAGGAATAGTGCCCCATCATTGGTATCAGTGGGAGGAATAGTGCCCCATCATTGGTGTCAGTGGGAGGAATAGTGCCCCATCATTGGAGTCAGTGGAAGGAATAGTGCCCCATCATTGTCAGGTGTCAGTCAGTGGGAAGGATTGTGCCCCATCATTGGTGTCAGTGGAAGGAATAGTGTCCTATCATTGGTGTCAGTGGAAGGAATAGTGACCCATCATTTGTGTCAGTGGAAGGAATAGTGACCCATCGTTGGTGTCAGTGGGAGGAATAGTGCCCCATCGTTGGTGTCAGTGGGAGGAATAGTGACCCATCGTTGGTGTCCCCATCGTTGGTGTCAGTGGAAGGAATAGTGACCCATCGTTGGTGTCAGTGGGAGGAATAGTGCCCCATCGTTGGTATCAGTGGGAGGAATAGTGCCCCATCATTGATGTTAGTGGAAGGAATAGTGACCCATCATTGGTGTCAGTGGAAGGATGGTGCCCCATCATTGGTGTCAGTGGGAGGAATAGTGCCCCATCATTGGTATCAGTGGGAGGAATGGTGCCCCATTCATTGGTATCGGTGGGAGGAATAGTGCCCCATCATTGGTGTCAGTGGGAGGAATCGTGCCCCATCATTGGTGTCAGTGGGAGGAATAGTGCCCCATCATTGGTATCAGTGGGAGGAATCGTGCCCCATCATTGGTGCCAGTGGAAGGAATAGTAACCCATTCTTGGTGTCAGTGGGAAGGATGGTGCCCCATCATTGGTGTCAGTGGGAGGAATAGTGCCTCAAGGGCCAGACAAAGACAAGCAAAGGGCCACATCTGGCCCTCGTGCCACAGTTTGGAGACCACTGGTCTAACAGTTGGGTTCCTATAGTCTGAAGCATAATATGTTTTATTATTTGCTCTTTTAACATTTTGTGTCCAATATGTAATATAAATGTTTTGTGTCCTTTTTATTACCTTTTCTCTTTGTAAATATGTACATTCATTTTAAAAGTGTGCACAAAACATACGGGAATGATAAATGTCTTCTATATATTTATGGAAAGAATCTGATGAATCAAGAATGAGGTTTGCCTGGACCTGTTTTGGCCAGTGTGTAAAGCGGAACTAAACCCTCCTCTAGTTTTCAGCCAAGGAAGCTGCCATCTTAGCCTCTGTTTGATCTTCAACTGTTGCGAAGCTGCACATGTGATCAGTTATGACCCCAGCCACTTGATAATTTGGCAGTTTAGTTCTGCTTTAAGTCCCCCAGTCACACCGAATGTGAATTGGCATGTGATTTGCATGCAATGCGACTTGCTAATCACATGCCAAGTCGCGCCCTATTGTCCGCAATTAGAGCGGTCATATCGGTGTGGTTCCGACAGTCGGATGCGCACCGTTTACTAAAGTAGAACATGCAGTACTTTTGGTGCGATTTATTTATTTCAGGTACTTATATAGTGCCGTCAATTTATGCCGCGCTTTACATATATATCGTACATTCACATCAGTCCCTAACCCTCAGGGGGTGTACAATCTAAGGTCCCTAACTCACATTCATATACTAGGGCCAATTTAGACCGAATCCGATTCAACTACCAGCATGTCTTTGGAGTGTGGGAGGAAACCGGAGTACCCGGAGGAAACCCACGCAGGCACAGGGAGAACATGCAAACTCCAGGCAGGTGGTGACGTGGCTGGGATTCGAACCAACGACCCCTAGTACTGCCAGGAGGAAGTGATAACCATTTAGCCGCTGTGCTGTCCAATATTGTATTACTTTTGATATTATAATTTATGTTATGTGTCAGATGTCTTGCATATAACACCTGAAATCGGCATGTCACCCGACTTTGAAATCGTACGACTTTACTGTAAATCGCACAATTTCAAAGTCGGGTTTGATGTAACGGGTTGTTTGTGTCAAACAACAACAAAGAAAAAATCCCAGCTCAACTTACCAACCAGCCTGCAACCAACCAAATTGTCCTGACTAACAGTTCACGTTCAAGACAGGGGTTTAGTTTGCACACATTTGCAAATACATACTGTTGTGTTCAAAATACTAGCAGTCAGACATCACTAACCGGATCAATCACTGTTTTTGGTAAAAATGATATTTCTACATGGCAAATAATTTCCTAGCAGGTGTAGTAGAGTAATAGAAATCCAACAGACCCAACAGTCATGACATGCATGCTGCTGATTCTGTGTCATTGAATCACTCATTGAAAGGGGCGTGTTCAAAATAATAGCAGTGTGGAGTTCTATTAGTGAGGTCATTCATTCTTTGAAAAACAGGTGGCAATTATTGCCCTTATTTAAGGAAGGAAGGCAGCAAATGTTGGACATGCTGGTTACAGTGCATTTCTCTCTGAAATTCTGAGGAAAATGGGTCGTTCCAGACATCGTTCAGAAGAACAGCGTACCTTGATTAAAAAGTTGATTGGAGAAAGGAAAACATATAAAGAAGTGCAGAAAATGATCGGCTGCTCAGCTAAAATGATCGCAAATGCTTTAAAATGGCAACCAAAACCTGAAAGACGTGGAAGAAAGCGAAAATCTACCATTGGAATGGATAGAAGAATAGCCAAAATGGCGCGGACTCAGCCAACAATCAGCTCCAGGAAGATGAAAGAAGGTGTGACGTTCCCTGTGAGGACTGTTACAATTAGAACCCGCCGATGTGAAGCCAAGCTATCTGCAAGAAGTCCCCGCAAAGTCCCACTGTTGGGAAAAAGACATGTGCTGAAGAGGTTACAATTTGCCAAAGAGCACATTGACTGGCCTAAAGAGAAATGGCGCAACATTATGTGGACTGATGAAAGTAAGATTGTTCTTTTTGGGTCTAGTGGGCGGAGACAGTTTGTCAGACGACCCCCAAACACTGAATTCCAGCCACAGTACACTGTGAAGACAGTGAAGCATGGTGGTGCAAGCATCATGATATGGGGATGTTTCTCATACTACGGTGTTGGGCCTATTTATCGCATACCAGGGATCATGATTCAGTTTGAAGACATCAGAATACTTGAAGAGGTCATGCTGCCTTATGCTGAAGAGGAAATGCCCTTGAAATGGGTGTTCCAACAAGACAACGACCCCAAACACACCAGTAAACGTGCAACATCTTGGTTCCAGACCAACAAGATTGACGTTATGGAGTGGCCAGCCCAATCCCTGGATCTTCATCCAATAGAAAACTTGTGGGGTGACATCAAAAATGCCGATTTTTTCTGAGGCAAAACCAAGAAATAGAGAAGAACTGTGGAATGTGGTCCAATCATCCTGGGCTGGAATACCTGATCACAGGGGCCAGAAGTTGGGGGACTCCATGCAACACAGATGTACAGCAGTTCTCAGAAACAGTGCGACTACAACCAAATATTCATGAAGTCATTCAAAGGAAAGCAAAATCTTCAAACATTTCTCAGTTTATATAGTGAATGTTTGAGTTTGTAAAGAAGAATACAAACACGGCGATTTTTTTGAACCGTCTAATATTCACTTTTCTTAAAAATTTTTTAGAGGAACACAAATTTGATGTATTTTTCTTCATGTTGTGATTTGGAATAGAATGTGTCGTGTTCCCAATGCATTTGTGTGGATGGAAATAAAAGCTATTAGAAGGATTTTCAGCTTTATTCACTTTTTTCAACACACTGCTATTATTTTGAACACAACTGTACGTAAGCTGCAGAGCCACTTCATAGCACCCTAGTATATCTGCAGTCCTAACTATCAATTTTGAGAGCCTCCATAGTAGAAGCAAAAAAAATATAATAATGGATAAATTGAGGGCAGGTATGCCTGGAGGGAGCCCAACTCTCCTTAAAGGCACGGGCGCACTTGACACCAAGCACATTGCAAAATGGCAGCGAAGGTGTCCAGTGTGCCCTCTCACCAAATTTCCGACGGTACAAACAAACATCAACTGTCCCAACCTATAACTGGCCTTCAAAGATAGGAGCACATGGAAGGGCGATGCATGTGAAACAACAGCAAAGAAAAATTTCCAGCTCATCTTACCAACCAGCCTGCAACCAACCGAATTGTCCTGTCCAGCAGTTTGCGTAAAAAAACAGGGGTTTAGTTCCGCTTTAACCCCTTTACAACTGCCTAACACATGTGCTGCCGCAGAAGGGTGGACTTTGTGGTGGGACCGGCTCTCATACCACAGAGGCTTACTGGTTGAAGCTCCGATTCCATTCTTGGGTACATCCACATGGTTTTTCCCTCTGCACTTCATGCCCATCACAGTTTTACTCTATGTAAGTGGGCTATGTAAGCACTGAGCGAACTATTGGCGCTTTATAAATACTGTATAATAATAATAATAGGTGTTTTTTTTGGAATAATGTGGTACTTTTTACTGATCCACACACCCTGCCTTTCTGCCTTTTTACATGCCCATAGACTGGATCCATTCCAGATCTATCTAGGAGCTACAGGATGATTCTCCCCTGTACCATCCCATATGGAAGAAAAGTATATTTGAAATATATTTTAAAAATATTCTTCCCAAATATATTGCCATATATTTGAAATACTACAATTTAGGCCATATTCAATATATTTCATAATATATTATATATATATATATATTGCATGTTGAAATATGTTTTTATTACAAAATATATTAAAAATACATTGCAAATATACTGTATGTTTTTAAAAATACAAATCTACATTTTTGGAATGCATTTACAAATATATGTAAAAATAGCTTTTTTATATGTTAAAAAAAACTGAAAAATATATTTTAAAAAATATATATACTTTTAAAAGTAAAAGTAGTAACACTTTAAGTTATTTCTGGCTTGCAGGGGCATTGGCCAGGTACGGTACATACACTGTAACATTGGTCCAAGCTGGTTCAATGTAACTATGTATAAAATATAAATACCTGGAAATCCTCTTTTTAAACCTGAAAAGAGTGGTCTATGAAAAAAATAATTTTTACTAAAATGAATAAATTAATAAAATGTAATAATTTTTAAAAATATATATTTTTTTAAATATATTCTTAAGATTTGTTTTAACATATAAAAAAGTCATTTTAACATATTTTTTATATTTGTTTACATATATTTGTAAATG